ACAAGAGGACCGTAATTACAGGAAGGGGCAGCCGGGCAGATAAAAGGGGGAGGCGCACTGGCTGCCCTGAAGGCTGCAGGAGTCTGAGGAGGAGGCTCTGTGGCTTCCTTTCGCCCATTCTGCCTGCCCCTTTGGGTGACCCCCTCAAAGAGCATGGTTGCTATTCAGTGAGGGTTGGGCCCTGTGTCAGCCCCCAGCTGAAGTTCTTCTGGCGTTCGACTAGGGGTAGATGACTAGCCTCTGTCTGCTGGGGGATCCAAGAGGGACCAACCACCCCTTGGCAGCGCTAAAGGGCCATGGCTCAGTGCTGGGCGGCCGGAACCTGTCCTCCACCCTCCCCTGGCCTGGCTCTCAGGAGCATGTGCATATTCAGGCGTGCCCAGGAAAGAACTGTTTGGTCCACACTTCTCCTCCTCCCTCTCCTTCCAGATTTGGGGGGCCTGCCACTGCCCTCTCCATTAGTGAGGCCTATTGGTGCTCTCCCCTTTAATCTACAGAAGTAATTTCATGTTTGTCTGTTTGAAATAGAAGATGAAAGGCACTGGGGGCTGGGAGAGAGAGTCCCAGCGTGGCTCTACCTGCCCAGCCCTGGTCCCAGGGTTCAGCGGGAAGGAAGGCCGGGCACCACGGGGCTGCAAAGGGACCCACCCAGCCTGAGCTGCTGACCCAGGCCACTGCCCCCCTGTCTGAACAGTAGCCACGAGTATGTGCAAAAGAGATTCAGGAAAGTTCAAGGACCCTACCCACTGGGCGAGACCAAGGGCTCAAGAATGCGCCCAGCTTCAGAGGGCCAGACAAGTGCCTATAGGCCCTGGTGTGCCAGCTCAGACCAGCCAGCTGGCTGACACATTGCTTTCTCTGGTTCTCTGGAACGGCCACACACACTTCAAATGGGCCAATAAAAAGATACACTTTCTTTTGCCTCTGGACCCAGGACCCTCGAGGCTGTTGTGCAGTGCCCGTGAGGTTAAGTTCACAGCATAAACTGACACACCAGGCTCTGGGAAATGGCCTGTCTCTTCAAATAGCCGCCCAGTGGTGCCACTGGGGCCCTGCTGGGGTTTTGATTTGAGAAAACAAACAGAAATGGCACTGCAGGGCCGGTCAGGGGCCCCACCCCAGGGCCAATTTAACTGGAACTCTCAGGCCCTGCTGCTGTGGAGGGAGAGGTCGGCCGACAATAGCCCCAAACTTTGTGGGGGAAGGGGCCCAAACCAGCTGTCTGTCTCCTCTTCCCCTCCTCCTGAGCACCCTTTTCTTACCACAAGTGTGTTCTTGTAAAAAACGATTAGATTGCAATTTGTAGGACGCGGTGACCCCCAAATTCAGACATTTCACCCCTTCTCTCTGGAAAGAATGTTAAGAATGCCCTTAGTCTTGCACTGTGGAGGGTGGGAGGGGGTGCCGAGCAAGCCTCTGCTGTCCTACAACTTGTATGGGAACAGGGCTGCCGCATAGAGCTCCAGGCCACGGAGGAAGCAGGGCTGGTCTGGCACTATAGAGAGCCAGACAAACGTCCCTGCCCTTCCAGCTCCTTCTGACAAAGCCAGGGACCTCCAGGAACCACTGAGGGCTGGGGGCCTCGACACCCTCGCCCCCTGCAGCTAGGTGCTGGCAATTCTCTCTCTCTCTCTCCACCCAGGGAAAGACAAAGACAGATGGAGTCACCATGGGTGCCTGATGAATAGGAGGCATCTAAGGAGGGTTGTCTGAAGGAGACCTGTCTGTCCCCTTGGCTCTGGCATTGTGGCCTTCTCCTGGGAGCCTTCGAGTACCTGGGCAGGGGGAGAGGGAAGTGGGGGGACAGACCTGAGGAGAGAGGAGCTGCCTGACCACCAGGGAGAAGTTGAAAGATGTCACGTTACGGGGCAGCTGACTGGAGATCCGCTGACCCTAGAGTTGGCAAGCACTGAGGGACTGTCCCTACCAGGTCCACCTCCTGCCTTCTGGTCTCAGCCTGAGGAGTAGGGCTTTGTTTCCAGTCAGCTCCTTCCCTCCTTCCAACACCACACCACACCGGGCCTGACCTGTCCAAATGCCCCCCAGCCATGTCCCTAGAAGACCTGTAAGTGCTCCTCTGATACCTGGGCCCACATCTAAGAGTACCCTGGCTCCCATGCCATCTTACAGCTGTTTTTAACACACTGCCATTCTGTAGAGACCCTACTGGGGCTTCTTCTGACATCTCGGTACAAGGACATCCTATCTGGCTGGTACCACCCTGAAATGTAACAATGGCTTCTAAAGGAGGAAAGCGACAAACAGTACATCTCTGGTCTTGGGGGACCAATGGCCACCAGCAAATGGGAGGGCCTGCCTTCCAGAGCTCCCTCTCTCCCTACCCCATGCTGGATCAACAGCGGGGTTTTTTTTTAAATATGTTCTATGGACGCTTGTCCACACTGCTCAGCAGACACTTCGGGGAGATGTGACTTCGAAGACCAATTCCTGGTGTAGGAGTGAAGTCTACCTCATGCACATATACCTGCATGAATACAAAGTGTGGCTGGGTGGCCATCAGAGGAAGTTTGGCAAGAGATTACTTCTGGCTGGGAGCACTGAGCTGGTGAGTGACAGGAGTGGGCAGTGCAGGGGGACAGAGCAGAGCCATGGGTGCAGAGGGCAGGCAGCTGGGCTATCTGAGCAGTGGTTAACTAGGTGACTCGGCTGGAGGCCTTGGTAAGTGAGTAGACTGCAGAGGCTGATGGGATCTGGCTTCCAGATCACCGCGGGACTTCAGGTTCACATTCCCTACCTGTGACCCTTGATGCACCAGCTTTCAGCTCAGGAAGCCAGCACCCAGAGAAGGAAACCAGGCAGGTGTCAGCGCTCCGGTTGATGGAAACGGAGGGAGGGGGAGAGAAGGTGGCAGCATGCTGCTCCCTGTGTCAGCTCCAGCTAGGAGTGACGCTGAAGCCTACGTGCTTAGAGTCAGCAGACCTCTGAGGTAAGTTTTCTTGACCTCATTTTACAGATGAGAAGACTAAGGCTCGGTTCTGGCACATCTGGTGAGTATTAAAGTCTGATTCGTATGTTCCAGAGTACATGGTTTTACAGGACACTCCTCACCATCAAGGACATGACAGCCACGGTCACTGTCCCTCAACATGATCGGTCGCTCAAGCCGACTCTCCCCAGGACATCCAGGGCCACTTTCACGTCCTTACCTAGTCTTTGTTGGACACCCCCACCCCAGGCCCTGAAGCTGAACCTGTGGTTGGGGAGTCAGGGAATTGGGGCCAGGCAGGTCCCAGCTGTAACAGCTAAGTGGTGGAGCCCAGGAGAAGTCAGTGGAAGCCTTTGCCCTGGCCACATCAGGGGAGAGGAAGGGCCCTTGCCAGGCACCAAGTCCTCACATGCGTGCGCAGCCCCAGCCCCCCGCCCATGCACACGTGTTCAGACACAATGGCTCAAAGGCCAGGCAGCCCACTTTGTACTGCTAACAAGAGGACCGTAATTACAGGAAGGGGCAGCCGGGCAGATAAAAGGATACAAAATTTCAACATCTGTTGCCATAAAGGGATAAGGAGAGGTGAAACGCAAAGTATCAGTTTGGTGTCAGCAGGCAGAGAGCCAATTTCAAAGAGTTCAGGGGACAGGGGACAAAAAAAGAAAGGAAAGGGGGGAGAAAGAAAGAAAGAAATTACAGGGTTCCTTAAAGAGGGAAAGAAAATCAAAAAAGCTGCCAGGAGGACTTTCAAAGGGGGAGGCAGGTACTTTAAAGAGGGGCAATTCCCGCAATCACCCGGACTGAGGGCCAGGCCCCTGCATGGGGTGGGGGCAGGGGCAGAGCAGAGACAAAGCCACACCTGGGGTGTATGGGTACCAAGAGTGCCTGGGCAGCCCACCAGGGCGCAGGGCATGCTTCTCTGTGCC